CGATACATGCACATACACACACACAAGAGATATATTTAAACAACATACATAATTGAATACATTATTGCTGTTATTTTTTGAACAAACTGTTATCTGTTAAGAATGAAAAAAACAAGAATTTTTTATTCTACCTTCACTTATTCCTTCTTGATTGTTCTTCCTTTCTTTATATAGATCCAAGTTTCTGATGTATATTATTTTCATTTTCTATAGAGAATATCTTTGAAAATTTCTTGCAAGGCAGGTCTACTTAGCAACAGTTTTCCTCAGTTTTTGTCTGAAAAAATTTTTATTTCTCTTTCATTTTAGAAGGATAACTTCTTGGGATATAGAATTGTAGTTTGGTTGTTTTTCTTCTCAACAATTTAAATATTTCACTCCACTTTGTTCTTGCTTGCATGGTTTCTGAAGAGTAGTTGATACAATTCTCGTCTTTGCTTCTCTTATAGGCAAGGTTTTTTTTTCCCCCTTCTAGCTCCCTCTTTCAAGATATTTTCCTCAACTTTGTTTTCTGCAGTTTAAGAAGAACCTAAATTACTAATCCTTGTATTGCTTCATTAAATGAGTTGATCATGTTAGGGACCGACCTTCCACAGCCCCACCGGACAGAAAAGCAGAGACATGAGGATGCAATCACCACAAAGGAGGTTTATTTTCTGGCTAGCCAGCCCAAGCCCCAGAGCACCAACGCAGTGGCCATTCGCCAGGCAAGGACCCTCCTTTGTGTGTTAGTCCCCTTTGTAACTTAGTTGTTTACACACTGGTCATGCATCCACCCCACAGGTTTTCACTTCAGCCTGCCCCTGATAGGCCCTAACCTGTTCCGGGTCCTAGCTGAGAGACTCAGGTTTCTGCTCTCTTTGTCTTTTTCCTCTGCATCCCATAATATACTCATAATGCCTTGCAGTTAGCAAACAAGCAGTAAACAGAAGCTGGAAGGTGTCTATTGTCCTTATAGCCCAGGACTTACAGTCATTGTAGATTCTTAAATTTTTTTGAAATTTGGTTTGGCGTGCTACATATTTATTTTTACATCATTTTTACTACGATCAGTCTGTGGGTGTCTCTTATGCTGTTTTTATGAGAGAGTAGAGCTGGTTTTCTTTATATAATTTTTTCTTTATTCGTTTTGTGCAAGTGAAGTTTATATAGTTTGAAAATTATTTGCTACTTAAGGTGTAAAGGGCTTTCTATTAAAATTCGTGTTTGATATTTTTAAGAAACGGCATCGTTAGAATATAGTGGTTTCTTATGATTTTGCTTCCTTAGTTTTTGTACTTTGAGGTCGTATTCGTAAATTAATTTTACAAATATTACCCATTTCATAGAGGCTTTTAAATTTATTAAGTTTAACTTTATGAAATTGCCACTGGGTGGGAAATTCTTCATATTGGCATTCTTTTAATTTCTAATAAACTCTGTACCAGTTATTAAGTGCCTTTTTAAAATTCTGCTTTTATATTTTCTCTTATGGGTAGATTTATTAGATATATACTGTTTTAAAAAATACTAATAGAGTTTTCAATGCGACGGAGGATATGTTATGGATTTTATTTGAATGCTGGTGTAAACAGAGCCAAACCAATTTTTTTTTTTACTGCACTTTTCAGAGCCTGTGAATATTCTCAGAGCATTATAAACCCCCAAAGAGACAAATGTATTCAGCATTTCCGCATCTAATTGGAGTAAGGAACATCTTTTAATATCTTATGGACTAATGTGCCATGAACATATTTTGAAAAATTCTAGTTTTATTTTTTGGTTATTTGACAATCAATTTGAACTTATTTTTTCTCTATTCAATACTTTCTAACTTTATCTTCATTTTTTTATTATCATTCCTCTATTTTTATCATTCTGTTATTTGCTTATTATTTTTAATGAAACAAATCTTGCTATGTTGCCCAGGCTGGTCCTAAACTCTGTGCTCAAGTGATCCTTCCACCTCAGCCTCCATAGTAGCTAGGATTACATGCACATACCCACAGCACCGGCATTATCATTCTTTAGTTGGTTCCCCAGATAGGATATGATTAAAATTCATTAGCGATACATACAGAGGTCCTCATGATCTCTCAGCAGTTATTCCTAACACTGTTCCCAGATTGATGATGTATACCTTATGCACTCACTATATGGAACCATACTTTCAGGTCTGAATGCTTTTGCTTATGTTATTCTGTCCATGCTCTTCTTACATTTGTCTTCTTCCTTCACTTGTCTGCTTGATACACTGGCTTTCCATTTTAAAGATTTGACTCAAATTTTAGGAAGCTTCTGACTCTTTCACATCTTTTACATTTTTAACATATTTTCTGGTCTTTGCAAAATTGTCAATCTCTGATTTTGACTTCCATTGATCATAGTAAACATGGCTGTTGTAAGGTAGTGTAGGTTGATAGTTTCATGCGTTGATCTTATGAGTCTGTTCTATTGTCTGTTGTTGTCTGAATGATTCTGTTTCATGTATCTTGTCTCTCTTTTATGTCTGATTTTTTCTTAAAACAAGGCGGGTCTTGCTCTATCACCCAGGCTACGACTGCAGTGGGATCATCATAGCTCACCTGCACCTCAAACTCCTGGGCTAAGCAGTTCTGCCTCAGCCTCCCAAGTAGCTGGGATGACAGGGTGTGTGCCATGATGCTGTGCCAATTTATTTTTTTTTGTAATTGGAACTTGTCTTCGTGTGGATGTATTTTTGATGTGCCGTGTATTGGAATTTGTATTTAAAAATTGTAGAAATAATTGAACTAGATATATATTTCTTTAGAAAGCGGTTATTCTGTAAGAAATTAAACCACCTAGGTCCCCTGGAAAGGTACGGTTGCCAGATGAACATATAGGATACTCAGTTAAATTTGATTTCACGGGGCGGTGCGTCGTAACAATGAATTTAGCTATTCAATTATGTCCCAAAATATTATGGTGGAACATATCTTAATGATGTGAAAAATTAGCAACATCATAATCTGTCATTTCACATTTCATCTGAGTGTTCTGTATTTTCATTGCTAAATTTAGCAACCAACTCTTAAGGACTATTTATATGTAATTATCTACTGTACATCTGGAATGGTGTGAGTTATGAGAGAGAATTGAGAAAAATACTCAGATCATTTTCTTTTCGTATTCGATGAGATGACGCTGATTGGAAAAATGTGCTCTAGGGATGTTCTGTAAGCTCTTAGAAGGCAGTAGTAATTCAAATCATCTTAAATAATTTCCAGGATGAGAATAGTTTGAAGCTGGGCTCACAGCTTAAGGAGCCATTCTACTTTTGGTCAAAGAGTCTTATTCGCTCTCTTGCAGCCTTCGTTCCTGAACTTATCAGATGCCTCAGGACAATAGCTGGCGCTAGAATGCTGGCTCATTATCTTTGAATTTCAATGTAAATAGATACATAAACCTGTGTAATTTTTTTTACTCATCCCACTAGACTTCATAGATGCCATTACAGTGAATAGATTTAAACGAATTGATCCGCTTATCTGAAACTTCAGCAGGGAGTTTGACAACTAAATTAATGATCTAGACATGCTGGAAGCCAATGTACATTTTAAACGCAAAAAGAAAAGAGCTTGTATACTCTATCAGAGGCGAAAGACGTGCTGTGTGAAGATGGCTGCAATACTATCTATTAGGAGAAAAAAGAAGGTATATAGAGTTATTATGAATAATTTCACTTATGTTCGTTAAAATGGTATAACTGTCTGAAAAAAATGTGAGATAATCTACTTAAGGGACTTTCATCTATCTGGAGGACTAACAAAGCTTGCAGTGTTAAAGGCTTACTCAGAAACACTATTAACACTTAGAGTTTTTAGGATCGCTAGGTAGATATGATCTTAGTTTTGTTGGGTAGGGTAGAATAGGAAATGAACTGAATTTTGAAATGGTTAGTGGTCGTGAAATCGAAAAGCTTCCTATTGCTGTCTTCACAGCATGTTTTGTGGGCGTTACTGTAGAACATTTAAAGGGCCTGGATGACTAAAGTCGAAGTGTAATACTAAACTGATGAAGTTGGGGAATGGTTGTCCCTGTGTGGGGGTGTGTCTAGCTATGTTTGGCAGGGTGTGGTTCTGTACACCATTTGAGAAACACACACCACCCATTTCCCATGTATACATGAACTGTGTGTCAGAATTCCTCTCCAAGTGTTTTTGTGAAAGAAGTTGCAGCAGAATGGTGGCTGGGCGTGTGCCGTGTAGTCCAGGCTACTTTGGAGACGTGACCGGTGGGTGGGAGGATCACTTGAGCTTCAGTAGTCAAGCCAAGCCAGGGCACATAGCAACCTCTGGTCTCTTTTTGTTGTTTTTTTGTGGGAGACAGAGTCTCACTTTGTTGCCCAGGCTAGACGTGGAGGTGCGGCGTGCGCTCAGCTGGCTCACAGCAACGTCAAACTCCTGGGTTCAAGCACAGTCCTGCTGCCTCGCAGCTCCAGTAGCTGGACTACAGGCATGCACCACTATGCCGCGGCGTAATTTCTTTTCAGTATGATTAGTTGGCAATTAATTCTTTCTGCTATTTATAGTAGAGACGGGGTGTCACTCTTGCTCGAGCTGGTTTCGATACCCTGACCATGAGCAATCCGCCCGCCTGGCCTCCCAGAGTGCTAGGATTACAGGCGTGAGCCACCGCGCCTGGCCGGCCTCTGTCTCTTAAACAAAATTAAAAAAGAAGTTTGCATTTTCTCTGGTTCTTATAGTTTTAAAATACTGTCCTTAATTTCTGTCCCTAAATATTATAACTATAGTATACAACCCATTTCAAAACTTATAAATGTTGTAGTAAAAATAAATATTTTTGTTCTTTTTAAAAATTTTCTAAAAGTATTTTCCTTAATAGAGAGAATATTTAGTTTCTCTCTTGATGATCAAATCTTTAAGTGGTGTAGTTATAAAATAAGCAATTAAACGTCTTTTAATTTTTCATTAGCTTTAATAAAAAATTATTGTAAGCCTGTCTGTCTAAAGTTTGTATTTCTGAATTTTTTTTTAAAGAGTTATGAAGTTGCAACTGCCCTAGAAAATCAAAGCCATAAAGTTCGGTATTCAGATTCAGTGGAAAATGGCTCAATTATATTTTCTCTTTCTGGTATGGTATATTTGCTAACTGCCTTGATTGAAGTTTCTTATAAAATATATGGGTATAAATTTCAGTAATTTAATGGTAATTATGTATAAGTTTATGGTGTTATCTTTTGTGAGAGGTAAATGTGTAAAACTTTGTTACTGCTGCAAAAGCAGTGCATATATCCAACTGCAAAATATATTCCTTTTTTAGGTTACAGTTGTTATAATAGAACTGAACAAGTAGAGTCTGGTAGAGGATGGAAAAAACTACTTGCTTTTGAACTGAGATAAATAAAAATAGAAAAAGCTACTTTCCAAACAATCAGTACTTATGTTAAAATATTATCTGTATTGACAGAGACCAACATCACAATGCAGAAAAAGAAGTTTGCATTTTCTCTGGTTCTTACAGTTTTAAAATACTGTCCTAAATTTCTGTTCCTAAATAACATAAGAAAACTCAAAATTCATATACCAAAAAAAAAGAAAAATAGGAAGATGTTTTTCATGATTTTGTATGAGACTTTGGTGAATATAAATAAATATTAACAAATTAAAAAAACATAGGACAAATAAATGTTCCTGAAATTATGAAACTGTACAACTGTGAGTCATGGAAAAAGTATAGTAAGAAATTAGGGGGCCAGGTACAGTGGCTCACGCCTGTAATACTAGCTCTCTGGGAGGCCGAGGCGGGTGGATCGCTTAAGGTCAGGAGTTCGAAACCAGCTTGATCAAGAGCGAGACCCCGTCTCTATTATAAATAGAAAGAAATTAATTGGACAACTAATATATATATAGAAAAAGTTAGCCGGGCATGGTGGTGCATGCCTGTAGTCCCAGCTACTCGGGAGGCTGAGACAGAAGGATTGCTTGAGCCCAGGAGTCTGAGGTTGCTGTGAGCTAGGCTGACGCCATGGCACTCACTCTAGCCTGGGCAACAAAGCGAGACTCTGTCTCAAAAAAAAAAAAAAAAAGAAATTAGATTAGGATAAGAGAAGGCTGGGTAAATAGGAAGGGAGCAGCCCCACCTGTGCTTGAGAAATGACAGACATGATAAAAGAGGTGGAGGTAAAGGATTTTACCAGGATGGCTGCAAATAGACCTCTACTCTAGCAGAAGTTTTGGAAAGCAAGTGCTTTGAATAGCTCCTAGAATAGACCTCTAGGTTGAAAGTAGTCCAGCCTTAAATTCATTCTTCTATTGAATAGAGAGCCCTCTATGGAGAAATAAATTATTTTGGGTGAATACTACTATGTGCCTTGGCCACTTTATACTCATTATCTTATTCAAACCTTCTGACAAACTTAACAAAGAACTATTATTCCTATGTTACAGATAAGGAAACTGATGCTCAGAGAGGTTATATACATAGCCCAAGTCCACTCAATTAGTATATAATCACATAGTCACTTTCCTCAGATTAAGTCTTTCTCACATCTTTTGAAGAGCTATAATTAAATCAAGTTTCCCTTCAGGACCATTCTTATAGTCCTGGCACTGTTTCAGAGGTCCCAGATATCTGCTCACTGAGTGTATTAATTTATATAAGTCTTTACATCTTGGTAGAAAGGTTTTTCCAAGAAATAGGTGAAGGCTTGCTTAAGACTACCTTTCTTTAGTTGATTTCCAGCTCTTAAAAACCATAGGTGCTTCCAGGTAGCTAACACATGGAGGTGCCTGGAGAGTAGCAGGGCACTGAAACTGTCCCTTCCCACATTCCTAGTACCTCTGTGCATCTCTGCATCTGTATCTTTTGTAATATCCTTTGTAATAAACCAGTAAACAGTTAAAAAACATGAGAAGATAACTTCTAAAATATAATTTATCTTTTAAAAACTAGCCATTACTCATGTGGGCAGTGCCTTAGTCTGAAGAAAAAAGTATTTACCAAAAAGTTTTTCCCTTTGAATAGACCAAGCCATTTTTATACAGAGCACTTCAAAGAACTACCCAAAACCATTTTGTTAAGAATTCTGTTATAGTAATTTCTACTCCTTATGAGTTTATGGTCTGGACATTTGTTACATTTATAGCTATTTTTGTTGAGTTTACAACAAAATTTGATCTATATGACAAAGTGATGTTTTATATTACATTCACCTTTCCTAGGAGTAGCATTTTTATTGATGGATGCTGAAGAATGCTTTATGTCAGCTGAAGAATTATTCCTAGCCAAAATTGAGAAGTTTATTAACCTTCACCGAAATAGTTTTTTGGTTCTGTCTGCTGCCCTCCATGGGCCTGAAGAATGGAAACTGATGTTCAGGATTCAGCAAAGGTATGGAAGAATAGCACTATGGACTTTTTTTCTTATATTGTGTTTACTTTAGTTCTTATTTCTTTTAGGCAGGTGAATTTTATTTTGCTAGAAGATAAACTTGATATTAACATGTCATATTGATATTTAATGAAACACAGGTCAAATAGCTGTGCTATGAATTGAGGTGATAGGTTTCAGAGTTCATTCTGATTTATGGGCCTCTCCTGCAAAACCAAATCAAAAGGAAACTTGTTAGTTAAGTGCTGACTATAAAGCCACCTCAGATTTTCTGTGGAATGAAGTAGGGCATGCATACTTAAATAAATAACAAACAGTAGAGGCTTGTCTCTTCTGACTATTTAAGAGAACAAATGTCAGGCTGGGCATGGTGGCTCACACCTGTAATCCTAGCACTCTGGGAGGCCGAGGCAGGAAGATCCTTTGAGCTCAGGAGTTCCAGACCAGCCTGAGCAAGAACGAGACCCTGTCTTTACTAAAAAAATAGAAAGAAATTTGCTGGACAACCAGAATATACATATATTTTAAAAAATTAGCTGGGGATGGTGGTGCATGCCTGTAGTCCCAGCTAGTTGGGAGGCTGAGGCAGAAGGATTGCTTGAGCCCAGGAATTTGAGGTTTCTGTGAGCTAGCATGGGCAACAGAGTGAGACTCTGTCTCAAAAAAAAAAAAAAAAAAAAAAAAAAGAACAAGTGTAAGTTACATGATCTATATAACTTATGAATTGTTTTTCAGATTCCTGGGTAGTAACTTACGAATACTTCCAGTACACAATGCAGTAAATGCTATTAATCTTATGTGTACTATAGCTAAGGTGAGTCATCTGTGGAAAATGACACATACATACATACATACATATTCATACATTTTAAGGTTTTTTGACTTCAAATCGCCACTTTTGAGCAGGATTGGCAAATACTGTACTTCATTTCCTCTCAGAGAAGTTGCTATTTCAGCATGCAACTCTTCTTTCCTAAGCCTGAACTCAGCCTCACAAGTCTTTTCAATTTATTTCCAGTTGCCACTAAAATTTGACTCTTTTGGGGCCACAAGAGCATTTGGCTGACCCTATTGATAACTGATGTCTTCCTTCAAATTATAAATATTAGTCACATTGCCGTCATAAACTATCAGAGTACAAACATACCATTTTACAGAATCCTGTCCACCAGTTGTCCACTTTCTTTTCATGCTTGTCCTCTGTAGAGTATGCCCAGACACCCTCAACCCCGCTAGGCAGAATTAGGTGGTTCTTATGCTCATACTTGGAACATATCCCCATTAAAATAATTCTTAGAGTATGCCTTTTGATTTGCACATTTGAAATTCCTTGAAGATAGAGATCAAGTGTTTTCTTATTACTCTAATAATTCATACATAGTACTTAGTGCATAGGTGTTCAAGAGATGTTTGCTTGAATGAAAGTTAGGTATTTTTTGATGTGACTCTGTAAACATACCTTATTTCTGTAAATAATGCTGCATGTTTATATCTTCTTCCAGACTACCTCCAAACCATACATAGATAGCATCTGCTACAGAATGATAACAGCTAAAGCTTACATCATTGAGCAAAGTCCTGTTTGGAAAACACTTCACAAGATAAAACTGAGTACTGATTCATTTAACCCAAATTAGAGTATCAATTATAAATGTTCTTTTTGAAGAATGTTAAAATAATTAGACCTGTTAAATTATAATGTTCAAATATATATTTACTTTAAAGATGTTTATATTAATTTAAAATAATATGTATACAATTAAAAGTGATTTTATTTTAGCAGTTGAGTGATTTCTTTAATATTTAGAAAAGAACTGGTACATATAAAACTCAGATGCAGTTTCTTAATGAGTTGGATGGACAAATGTTTAGTAGGAAATAAAAATACAGAAGTTTCTATTTAGATCTTTAGGTTTTCCATAAGAGTGGAAAACAGTATTTCTAAAATTAATCTTTGCAGATGCTTTCACATTGTAACTTCTGCTGGTGATAGGACTCTGCTCCCTAAGATTCCTCCTGAGGCAGGAAAGAGAGGGAAGCAAAGAGAAGCAGTCAACTGGCTTGAAGTCAAAACTCCTTTCTACACTTTCGTAGTGTTGCAGACTCCAACTTGACGCTAGAAGTTCTAAAATGTCACATAGCATCGCACTGGAGCAGAACGTGTGTAAGTATTTTTATAAACTCATTACAACTGTATGAATGAATAAAGACAAGTATATTTTATGAAATTATAAAATTATTAGTTTATACTGGATTTTCAAAAGTAGTATTTAGGAGATATGTGTATAGGCATTATTTACCATGTAGATAACTTTTTAAAACCAAAGAATGCTCCTATTCCATAACACATCATTATAAAAATTAATAAATGAGAATAGCTACATTTATTTTTCTAACAGCAAGTTTTTACAGAAAATTTTTATAGAGGTACTAAATAATGGACCTTCCTCCCTCCCTCCCACTCTCCCTAAATAAAAACCTTTAAGAAATATGACAAAATAACTCGAAGCAGATAAAATCTCCCTCTACATAGGTCACCAAGGAAGTCCAAATTAGCTTTGTGTTAGAAAAGTTTCCATCAATAGGGAAGGGAAAGAATCCTATAGAACTAGATGTGTGGAAATACAGTATTAGTTTTTAATGGAAATACAGTATTAGTTTTGATTTAGGAAGTAGAATTTTCACTTTATCCCTATGTTTTCTTCAGAGGTAGACTTTGTTTTTATTTCAATGAGTTCTTCTACTCGAGCCAGAACACTTTCAATCAAATCAAATGTGAAAAGAGCTGAATGTAGGACCTGCAATGCCAAAAAAAATTAGTGTTATTATTACTGTCTTTAACAACAAAAAAAACATAGAAAAGACTTCAGCTGGAGATAGCTTAGGAAAATTTCAGATCACCTTAAGCTGCATTTCAGGAGGCATATTAGGGAGATCTTCTCCACCCACAGTTATAGAACAAAGGTCTTTAGTCTTCTGGACTTCTGTAAGAGAAGGAAAAAAAATCATGTGTCACACTTAGCCATTAAAACTCTCAGATTTCAATTATAAATTTATAAGATACTTCATTTGCTAACTTATAAAATGTCTGTTATTCATGTAAATTATTGAGTCCATTGTTTAACAACTCAGAGTATACTTAAACTATAAGCAGATAAAATTAAATGTCAAAGTTCCACATGTGAATTAATGCTTCTTTAGATGAACAGTATTATTTTGGCATGTACAGGATACATGAAACTTTTTCCTTCAGTATATAATAAGAATTATAGCCATAACATTAAAAAAGACAAAATTTCTAGTAATGTCACCACAGATATATGAAAAAGATAACGAGATTATTATAGTAGATTTGCTGGCTTGAAACAAAGTAATTCTGGATCTAAGATTATTTTTCATAATTTTAACAGATTTACTCAGGGGTGAGATGGAGGGTGGACCCAGCAATACCAAAGGAATGGCACCCAAATAGAAATACCTGTAATACAATCAGATTCTTAATCAGAACTTGAGGCTTTAAAACAGAATATGCTTGTTTGGTTTAAATCTTCATTAACCCAATTTCAGTGTTAACTGGCTTATAGATTTGCTAAGAAGCATTTTAATTATAAATAATGTGACATAGATGTCATGGTCCCTTGTTTAGTATAAATTAAATAAGTACAAGATAAAGTATGTTCTTTGACTTGAATATGAGTATCTCAGTTCCAAAATTTGACTATTAGACCTAACTGAAAACAAAATTGCACATTACCAACCTTGGGTATTTTCTTGGCTATTCTTAATTTCTGCTTCATAATGTGCTTTTGACATATTAAGTCCTGTATGGAGAGGCTTTAAGAAATTATTTTCAATCTTTCCGAGTTCTGTCCATAATCCAGTCTGTTCAGAAGAATTAGTGAAAGAATTATTTGGTTTAACATTTATTGATTACCTACTATTACTAAACATGCGTTATAAGCTAGAAAAACAAATGAAACATGGCCCTTGCTTTTCATGAGTTTATTGTTTAGTAATACATGTATTACTACATCTAGTTATGTGAATACCAATCAAAACAAAAATGTACTCAGGGCACTGTGCTCATTATTATACTATTTGGATAGCTCCTGGTTTTGAGGTCTGTAACTTGCAAGTTTTATCCATGGAAATTTACTTGAGGATAATGCAAACAGTCTGAGACATTTTTCCTCCCCTATACACCATCCCCATCAGTGACTTTATCTTTTATATACTTTCAACCCTTGACCTTTCAATTGATATCCTGGCCACACATCTAGTTCTATAGGATTCTTTCCCTTCCCTATTGATGGAAACTTTTCTAACACAAAGCTAATTTGGACTTCCTTGGTGACCTATGTAGAGGGAGATTTTATCTGCTTAGGGTTATTTTGTCATATTTCTTAAAGGTTTTTATTTAGGGAGAGTGGGAGGGAGGGAGGAAGGTCCATTGGTATTAAGCTTTCAGATACTCTTTATGAAAGAGGGAAGGAGGAAGGCTGGTCCATTGGTATTAAGTTTCCAGGTACTCTTTATGAAGGAAAATTTCTTAGGTAACCATGGAGTACTAAGCTTTAAGAAACAATGGTGATATAGCACCTCTTGTATATTCCTGGATAGAGCTGGAACCCATTCTACTAAGTGAAGTATCTCAAGAATGAAAAAACATGCACCATATGTATTCAACAGCAAATTGGTATTAACAGATCAACACCTAAGTGGACATATAGGAATAACATTTATCGGGTGTCAGGGAGGGGGGAGGAGGGGATGGGTATATACAAATACAACGAGTAAGATGTGCAATGTTTGGGGGATGGACACACTTGAAGCTCTTACTCAAGGGGGGGCATGAGCAATATATGTAACCTTAACACTTGTACCCCCATAATATGTAAAATAAAAAAAAATTTTAAAAAGGAAAACTTAGGAACCCCATTATCCTTAACTAGAACAATGAAATGGACCATTTAAAAACCTACTTTGTAATGAACTTATTTTGCTCTAAGTAGTATACAAGGTTTTATGTATAGTCCTCCAAATAAAATCTACACATACCTATTTTGAATAATTGATAACGTTAATGACTGTTACACAATCCTTTTCATTTCAATCTGTCCTTTCTCATTTCTCCTATACTGATAGGAAAAGTAGAATTCTAGAGAGGATCTAAAACCTCAAAAATATGCATATCCTTTCACTCAGCATCTATGAACTTATTTGGGGGAAATAATCATGTTGTAATGATTCTATTGCAGATGTTTTAAAAGTTTAGTGAAAAATTGGAATTAATAAAATATCACATTACGAGATTCATAAGTAAACTATGGTTCATGTAATGGAAAACTACACTGCCATTAAAATATTGTTCTTCCGTATGTACTGGTGAAAGGGAAAAAGGTTACAAAATGTATGATCTCATTTTCTGTAAAAAAAAATAAAAAAAAAAAAGCCAGGCATGGCGGCTCACACCTGTAATCCCAACATTTTGGGAGGCCGAGGCACGAGGATTGCTTGAGGCCAGGAGTTCTAGACCAGCCTGGGCAATTATAGTGAGACCCTGTCTCTATTAAATAAATAAATAAATAGCCAGCCAGGTGTGGTGGTATGCACCTGTAGTCCCAGCTACTCAGGAGGCTGAGGCAGAAGGACGGCTTGGGCCTAGGAATTTGAAGTTACAGTGAGTTATGATCAGGCCACTGCACCCCAGCCTGAGGCAGAAGGATGGCTTGGGCATAGGAATTTGAAGTTACAGTGAGTTATGATCAGGCCACTGCACCCCAGCCTAGGTGACAGAGTTCACCTTATCTTTTAAAAAAAGAAAGAAATGTACAGATGTGTTAGCATGGAACACAGAAGGGGATATATTAATAATATCACCAATGGATGAGATTTTGATCACTATTTTTCTTTTTGCTTATTCATCCTGATATTTAAAGAATGAACCTGTTTTAGTTGTATCATTTTAAAAATTTAAATAGTTTTCCTAATCTGATCGGAAGTATGAGTTATATAGTAGTACAGCAGGAACTTCTTCAACCAGTGTAGTTGCACAGTATAAGCATATTACTCTATAACATGCACCTACTGTTCTCCAATCTTTACCTCTCTCCATCTAGTCTTATCTTTTCTCTACCCAACCTCCCCCCCCCCACTTTTTTTTACCTTCTCCTTTGCCTTTACCTCAAAGCTTATAGGTAGAACCCACTACTCCTGATGACTTTCAGGACTAGCTAGGTTACTGATGACCCTCTACAGATTAAAACACATTCAAACATAAAGAAGAGTATAGAGAAAACACCTATTTACTCATACCTACCTTTGTCAACATTTTTATTTACTTTAAAAAATACTAGATATGGTTGAAGTCCCTTATATTCAAGAGGTAGTTATTTAAAACTTTAGGATTCCTAATGTATATATCACTTAAGTAATATAATTTTTCATGTTTACAAACATAAATGGTATTATGCTGTATATATCTTGCTTCAGCTACCTTTTTCTTTGTCAATCTTACGTTTTTGAGAGTTATTTATATTGTAGCTCTAATTCTTTCATTTTAATTGGCATATAGACATTCCATTATACTATATAATTTATCATGTTATTTAATAGTAATTTTTTAGTATTCCAAAACAATGCTGCACTGAAATTGCTGTATGTTTTCCTATATCACATGGGGTGAAAGTTTTTCTAGGGTAGTTTTGCAAATTATTTTACCAAGAATCACCATAAGAAATATGTTTTATATCATAATTTGACAAACATTTATTTATATAGTTGAAACAGGTTTCCAAAAAAATCCTTCTTATATATAACAGGTAGACTTTTGCTAATATTTAAATATAACATAGAAAAAAACCAGAATAAACAATTAAAAAAACACTAAGACAAATTTTTATTTAATGAATGGAGTGTACTTACCTGTTTGTGAGGTAATTCCAGTCTACTGCAGTATTGAGCCTAGTCCTTTTCTTTTTATTTGTTATTTTTGAAGGTCATTTATATTATGGTATAATTTACATACAATAAAATACACTCTTTTAGCTATGGAGTTCTATGAGCTTTGACAAAGAGAAAAATCCCTTGTGCTTCTGGCAGGGGGAGGGAAAAGGAACCATTTGATATATGCCGGAGCACTCTGTTCTTAACAAGATCTACATTAGCAAAAACTAATTAACCAAAGCCTAACCTGGTGGGGTGTTGTCAGAGCCTAACTGACCTGGAGGAAGAGAAGCACCCAATCCTAGCCAGCTGTAGTAGCCATCCTGTTCCACACCTAAGGGTGAGAAGTCAAAAACTAAGAAGCACTCGTAAAGTTTACGGTCCAGAGGCACAGGCTCACTAGAAGACCTAATCACAGGACTATAAAATTGATTTTCCTCCCCACACGTTACCACCACATTACTAAAGGCCAATTTACATGAGTTCCTTCTACCAAGTACATCTGTCTAGCTTTCAGGAAAAAATTGCAAAGCATACTAAAAGGCAAAAACTACAATTTGAAGACACAGAGCAAGCATCAGAACCAGATGTAGCAGGGATGTTGGAATCCCTGATCATAATTTTAAAACAACTATGATTAATAGGCTAAGGGCTATAATAGATAAAGTAGACAGCATGCAAGAACCGATGAGCAATGTAAGCAGAGAGATGTAAATCCTAAGAAAGAGCCAAAAATAAATTCTAGAGATCATAAACACTGCAACAGAAATGAAGAATGCCTTTGATGGGTTCATTAGTAGACTGGACACAGCTAAGGAAAAAAAAATCTCTGAACTTGAGGATGTATGAACAGAAACCTCCAAAACTGAAAAGCAAAGAGAACAACATGCACTGGGAAAAAAGAAAAAAAAAAAAAAAACACACACAACAGAATATCCAAGGACTGTGGGACAACTACAATAGATGTAACATACCCATAATGGGAACATCAGCAGAGAAGAAAGGAAGGAACAGAAGAAATGTCTGAAGCAATAAATGACTGAGAATTTCCCCAACTTAATATCAGACAACAAACTACAGATCAGGAAGCTCAGAGAACACCAAGCAGGATAAATGCCAACAATAAACTAAGCATTATACTCAAACTGTAGAAAATTATGATAAAGAAAACATCCTGAAAAAAGCCAGAGAAGGAAAAAAAAAACTTATCTATAAGAGGGGATATGTTTTAATCTTAGTGAAAGAAATAGATGAGGAACCAAAATATAGATTAGATGGAATTACATATTGATAGTTATTTTATGTTTTTGTTGCAATTGTAAATAGTAAATTACATTTTCTAGTTTGCTGTGAATTTTTCTCATGATTATGTGTTGAATGTATCAAATGCTTTTTCTCTGTAGCTACTGACATAATAAAGTGTTCCTTCTAATCTCTGAATTATGATAAACTTCCATTACTGGAATAAACCCAACTTGATCTTATGGCTTAAAAATTTTTTTATGGATTTAGCATAGTAATGTTAGTATCTACATTTATAAGTGAAATTAGCTTACGACTTTCCTCCTGCATATTGTTCTTGTCTGTTTTGGTATTAAGGTCATATTTGACTAAACAGACTCAAAGTGTTAGTTAGAACTGTTCTTTTTCTAGTCTTTGGAACATTTTGTGTAAGATTTATCTGTTTCTTGAAAGTGTGGTAAAATTATCTGACTCTGGGTTTTCTTTTAGTAGACTGGCAGTTAAGTTGTTAAGTTATATTGTCTAAGAAATTCCATTTCATTAAAGTTTTCAATTTTACTGGTATGTTTTCACATTAATTTACAGTTTTTCTGTATTTGTACTTATACTCCCTTTTAAATCAACATAGTGTGTCTTCATGCATTTTTAAAATCAACCTTGCCAGAAATTTATTCAATTATTTTCAGTCTTCTAAT